CTTGCCAAAAGAATGGGAAAACAAAATAAATGCTATAGAAGAGGCAAAGGATTTAAATTCTATGTCCATTGAATCTCTTGTGAATTCCCTAACCTCTTATGAATTAAAACTGAAACTCAAAGTGCAAGAGGAAGAAAATGCAAGAATGTATATGAGAGGCATAGCTTTTAAAGCATCTCAAGTGGGGGATAACCCATCCTTCATGGGTAATGAAATCATGGAAGTGGACAATGATATAACTCCTCACATCAAAAGTTTCAAGAAAATCTTCAACAAGAGATGTTCAAGAGGAGATTGCAAAGTTACATGGGATGAATGCAATTCAAAAAGAGAAAAAGAAGAGTTGGCCCAAAGAGCACTAATGGCCGTTGGAGAAGATGAGGTAAGTTCTTATCACTCTTCTTGTGATGAAGATAATGAAGATGATGATGTGAAAATTCTTATGATTAAAATGCATAAAAGTTTGAGAAAATCTTATGCTAAAAATAAAGATTTGAAAACAAAAATAAATGATTTGTTGGAAGAAAACTCCAAACTTTTTCAAGAAAACAAATGTTTTTGAAAGGAAGTTGGAAGAGAAAACAAAGTTTTATGAAAAAATGTTGGAGGAACAAAATTTGTTAAAGAAAAGAATTAATGACTTGAACGAGTTTCTCCAAAATGAAAAACAAAAGTTTTCTCAAACAAAAGAAAGCAAATCTTTTCAAGGCACAAATAAGTTTGCTATGATAAGAAGTAAGAAAATTAGTTGCATTAAATCCACCTATGTGCAAAATACTTCTATCATGTGTCACTTTTGTTGCAAATTTGGACATATGCAAAATGATTGCTATGTAAAGAAAAATATGAGAAAAGACATGAAATCCATGTGGATTGCTAGATCATGTCGTATTAACTCCCAAGGACCCTATAAAGAAATGGTACCAAATGAAATTTCTCATATTTAGGCACATCATGATGATTTGATCCAAGAAGTGCTATATGGTTGTAAGTACAATTGAAAATTTTGATATTCAATATGGTCTTGATTTGAAAAATAAAGGGGGAGTTTGTTTTTGATTGATGCCAAAAGGGGGAGTAGGATTTATTGAAATTTCTTTGTATGTTGGCACTTTCTAAGGGGGAGCTTTATTTGAACTTATTTGATAAAAGAAATCTTCATTTTGTTTGTCATCATCAAAAAGGGGGAGATTGTTGACCTTGGTCGATCAATCCTTGGTTTTGATGATTAACAAACCAAAATGTAGATTTGGGCTAATGTTTTTATGTGAGTAATTTGTTAGAACAGATTCTTGTGGCATAAAAGAAGAAGCAAAAAAACTCAACGCTATCGGACGTCCGAAAGGATGAAGAACATCAAGAAGGAAACTCTGTCGGACGCTCGTGAGGAAGCATCGGACGTCCGGAAGGATCGGACGCACGCCTCGGACGCACATCGATCGCATCGGACGTCCGAGAAATTTCGCAAAGATTTGATGACTCTCTGACGTTCGGACGCAGGGTTCGGACGTCCGACAGGTGGTTTGGACGCAGGGTTCGGACGTCGACAGGAGGTTCGGACGTCCGACAGGCCAACGGCTAGTTTTGACAGCATTTAATATTTGACCGTTGGAGAGCCTTTTGGAGCCATTTCTCACCTTCTATAAAAACCCCAAAGCACAAGAAGACAAGGGACTTTTGCCAACACAAAATACAAGCTTACAAGTGAGATTTTTGAGTAGAAAGATTCTTTGTTGGTTGTATAAGGGGTTGGGAAAGTTGGGTTGTGAGGTTGCTCAAGTGAAGGTTATTCTCTAAGAGGAGTAAAACCTTGGTGAAGGTGAACCTATCACTTGAAGTGGTAAAACCTTGGTGAAGGTTGCCTCATTTGTGTAAAATAGTTCTTAATTGGGTGAGTGATCTTTCAAGTGTAGGTTGTTGAGGGTTAACTAGAATAGTTGTAAAACTCCTTGGCTCAACCAAAGTGTGTTTGGGGTGAGGAAGGAGTGAACCTTCACTTGTACATCTTGGTTAGCATCGCCATCAATTGAAGAGGCTATTGGATTGATATTTGGTTTGCATTTCTTATCTTTTCTCTTTAATTAAGTTTTCTTTATTGTGCTTAAATTTGATATATCTTTGTGCATCATTGTGAATTTGTTTGTACTCATTGGGTTGCACCGGGCACTAACACCCTGCTAAGGAAAACAAAAACTAACAGAATGAGCTAAAAGTTCAGTGAGGTTCCAGACACATAATCAACTTAAACAATGACATTAATCATGTAATAACAAGTAATCCAGGAAACATTTACAATATGAAACAATGATAACACATTCATTAAAAGGATACATGCTCACATTGAGCTCTTCGTTCATTCATTCTCCTTTCATTTTCTCATTCCTCCAATATTTAAATTTTCATTTGTAATTGAAAACCTCCTTTCGTTCATTCATTTCATTTCTCCCCCTTCTGGACATTGGCCAGACTCCACCTGACAACATGGTAATACTTGAGTATACCAAACTTTCACCCAGGGTCACTAAATCGCTCGACCAAGTCCACTTCTGGCTCGAGTCGACCGGCAACGAAGGGCAAGGACTCAGTTCAGCCAAAAGACTTATATTCATGCACAACTAACATTTAATCACTTAAATATTGAAAATTTCACATTTCATTTAGATCGAGTACGATAAAGTAAACACTCGCCTAGCAAAATTCATTTTTAACAAACATTTTTCATTTAATCAAATATCCACAACAACTCATATAGTTAATGGAAACATAGCAAACAAAGAACACTTACCTATTTAAGCAAAAGAACGTCCAAAGTATTCTTCCGGATAACACTCTCAATCACCAAGGAACCCTAAGAGTAACCAAGAGAACACGTCATGCTTCAACCATCAATGATTTAGGTGATTCAAAGAAATCCGAATACCTACTAGTACAAAGTATAAGTATAGTTTTGGAAGTGAAAAGAGTACATTTAAACCAAAGGACATGAGTAAAATATTTGTAAAACTTATGCTCGCTCCTAAAACTTTGAAATCTCCATTTGAGTCGAAGTGACAAAGAAAACGTATTTCTATTAGTCGTAAATTTCATTTTTCCAAGGGTACAAGTTTCGGCCAGATTTTAACTTATATACCTCTAATAAAGAAGACTTGAATACCTTAGATGATTCAAGTTGGTTTTATCCTCAACCCTTACTCAAGTCGTGAGTACATCTACCTAGCTCTCGAGGGCAAATTTGGGCAGCACGCTGTATTTACCTATTTTCCAACCATTTATAGCTTCATTCTTTTCCTCAATTAGTCCCAAATTCACACACAGATAATCCCATTACAATAGCCGTTCAATAGGCTCAACGTCATACAATTACAAAACCATGCTACAGAAATGACCGGAAATAAGGTTTAAGGCAAAAAGAAAAAAAACAAGTTCGACGTCTCTTAGCGTATCGGTCAAAGCTATGCTTATCAGATTGGGGTGTAATTTATATCATTTCGAAGCTAAGATAGGGGGCTACAACTTTGATGAAGCCCACTTAACCCAGTTCATAGTGTATCCGGGTCAAATTTTCAAATTACAGAACTAGAATCTCACCAATAGGCCAGTTAACCGTACTATATTCAAATGACAATAACTCAGGCTACCAAAGTCCGATTGAGGTGTTTTTAGGGGTGCTAGAAAGCTAAAACATAGCACTACAACTTCCGTGTTTTGGTCAAATGCTAATTCAGTACGGATCAGGGTGAAAAAATGCGGTCAGATTGGTGAAATGTCAAAACTGTCCACAGAGCTCTACCTATGGCAGTCAAGGGTATTTTTGTTGTTTCATGTGATACAGTGTCTGGATTGAGCTGAAATTTTACAGGCAGCTATAAAACATCATTCCCTACAACTTTTATGTTTTGTACTAAGCCTAATTTGACCTCCATCATGGTCAAACAAAACCGGTCAGAACAAGGTCACATGAATACTCCAATCTGGAATTTGGTGAATTCAATGGGTAAACTTCACATTTCTAGCTTAAACCACTACAACAACCTTCTATACAAGATTATATACACCCTATACCATCCAAACAACAAGAATTATAAGTGAACCATTCAAAACCCTAACTCAAAATGCACCACTACAATCATCAAAATCACTTAGATTAGGCATCACAAAACAAGAATACAAGTTACTACATAACTCAAACAAGACTAAGGGAAAGGGAGAGGATGGTTAGCCATAATACTTCAATAAAAGGGCTTGCAAGAGATATCTTTCACCTCTCCTTGTGAAATTTAACTCCCTAAGCTTCCTAAGCTCTCAATTTATGAGTTAAACGATTTAGTTTTCTTGTTTTCTCACTCAATCAAGCCCAACTCAAGATGGAATTGAAGTTCTCTTTCTCTTGTTTTTCTCCCTCTCTCTCACAACTGGTATGGCGGAATAAAGAGCAATTTGAGTGGTTTTTTGGTGATAAATATGGAAGAAATTAGTTGGTCAACAGCCTATGGATAACCGCCACTTGTCGCTTGGAGATTAACCTTCAAATTTTTTTCTTTTCCCTTGTTTTTTTGGTCAACATTTTCGGCCAACCTAAGCTGAGTATGGGGCTGATATTTTGCACTAATATCAATGAGGTTTTCTAGTAGGAAAGTAGTGGTCAAATGGTGTGTTCAATCTGTAGTGAACGATACGCGTCGGTTCGAGCCGATTTTCCTTAAATCGCATATACTAGGGTTTTATCTTATAATTCACTAACTTATTCTTATCACTTCTAATCACATATCTAATATCATCTAAAACTCACTCTTAATCACCAAATTTGATACACATTCCGTACTGAATAGTCACACTATGAAAAGGCGTAAAAATCCTAATTTGTGATAACTTGAAAACGAAAAGGAAAACCCTTAATTCTATGTTCATTTGCACTTATTGTGGGGTGATTGGGTAGTAAGGCTATTATAAAGTAATAATTTCCTAATAAAAGGGGATTTTTAAGGAAAGTATCAGGAATTTTACAAGTCCTCACAGTTCTCACATTCAACAACTGCATAAACAATTGAAAGGATGCTGTTGTTTCCATCTAATGTCACAGCTATCAAGAGAACACCACCAAGCATGCCTTTCAGATGATAACCATCAAAGCTTACAAAAGGCCTACAACCAACCAAGAAGCCATCTTTTTGTGCCTTGAAACTGATGAACATTATAAGAAACCTTGGTTCCATTAATAAATTAGGCCTATCATAGTGGATTTTCACAATAGTCTCAGGGTTGTTTTGCCTAAAAAACTCAGCATATTTTGATAGCTTGCTATAGGATTTTGCATGTGATCCTTGAACAATCTCTAAAGCTCTCTTATTAGCTCTATACACTTGGTTCTTACTTGGTTCAACACCAAATTTCAGCATCTCAGAAATTACTCCCTTAGTTGTGATATTAGGATGCTCTCTCAACACATCAACTAATTTCATTGTAATCCAGCCAGAGGTTGCTTCATTATTCTTTTTATTCATTACACATCTGTGCTCAGGATTGTAAGATTTCATCATGAATGTGATAGAGTCAGCAATTGGAGATGCATGTATTCTCCAATTGTAGCCTTGTGCACCACATTTGGCAATCACTCTGGTTATTTCATTCTTCAATCTCACTAATGGAAAGCCTTTTTGTATGACGTAGTCTTTTAGAGCAGCCCTAAAGGCATCAACATCAATAAAAGCATCCCCTTCTGAAATTTGATTTCATTTCTAGGATTATAAGTCCACATTTTGGACTTCATTACAGCTTTCATATAATCTAGTTCTTCATCAGATTCAGTATCGACCACAACACCTCCATCTTCATTTCCTTTGAAATCTGAAAAGTCTGCATCACTATTGTCTTCAAAAGAAAGTGAAGCATCATCATCACCTTGAATGTCATATGACTCATTCTTCAAATCATATGTCTAAGAGTCATCAAAACCTGAATCGCAGTCCCTATATTCATCCCTATTGGCTAACCATGTCATTCAAATGTACCACTGCATTATCTTGTATTCCTAAGTTCTCTTGGTCAGCCCCATGATTATTTCCTTCTATGTTGTTAACTTCGGGAGGGGCAACTATGTCTATTTCCAACAAGTGAAGGTTAATAACAAGGTCATTTTCATGTGGTTTGAACATTTCCAACACTGACTTATCATCAATGATGTCCAAGAACCCAAACCTCTAGGGATTACAGACCGTATATGCAGTAGCATGTTTAGATTTCTAGGAAACTGATTTAATACCTTTTCATCAACATCATTAAGCAGTTCAATATAAGATTAGTTATCAGGGTCGACATTAGGAATTTTGCATTTTCTCCCCATATTATGGATAACAATATCATGTACGATGATAAATCCCATCTTATATTTAATATAAATATTTAGATTTTGTGAAATGCAAGCATATACAATAAGCCACGCATATTATAATCAAGTACTGCATTGACTTTAGCACGAAATTTATGCTTTCGCCCCTGTTTACTTACTAAGCATATAACTTACCCCATTCCTTTTGTTTTCCTTAGCAGGGGCCGACGGGGGACTTTTGGTTCGTATACTAGTATAGTTAGTTTGGCTTGTAATAGTTGAATAGTTAGGATGTTTTTTTTGTTTTGGTGGTTTGTATAAGGACCCTTTTTAGGGTCTATCTTCTGCTGGTTGTGATTGTAATATATTAGAGTGGTTTGACTCGAGACTTTTGAAGATGTGAATATAACTTTTGGGATTGTATATATTGTATTTAGTGCTCTTTCGAACTTTAAGTTTTGAGTCCTGGCGCGAGCTAGGCAGGCGCCCGCCGATACCCTTGGGTTCGCCCTTGGGAGAAGTGGGGTCATCACACAGCGTTCCCGACCAAGCCCATTGCCGGCTCGAGTCCAAGGTCGGCCTATGAGTTTAGGCGTCCCCCATTCATTGAAAGTCGAGGAGATTCACTCCAACGACACATGCATTCATGACATAACATTTCATTTCATTCATTCATTCAATACATTTCATTCATTCAATACACTTCAATCATTCATTTGAAATTAGAACGAGTGCGATAAAGTACGCACCCGCCCTTATTTTTTTAAAATTCCCAACAATTAAGCAAGTATCAAGAATTCACACACTTGACACTCACCGAGCAATTCAATAGGATTATTCTTTGGAGATTCAAGTGTCCACAGTGAGATCCTCTTGAAGGTCTCCTTGTGCGCCTGGCAATTAATAGCGGATAATCACACAAATAACCCACTTATCAAGGAAGATTGTACTCTAGTACAATCTAAAGATTATTTCACAAAAGGAACCTCAATTACACGCAAATCGAGGTTCAACTAGCCTTTTATTATGTACAATATTATTTGAGTTTTTATCACGAAAAGCGAGGGCAAGACGTTTGAATAATACTAAGAGAATTAAGAATTTTTGGAAAAACTCCTTTGCCTTGAAAATTGAGAAATTTCAGTTTTATCCTAAATGTTTGAAAAATCGTAACTCGCTCGGCATAAGTCGAGAATTGGAAAACTTTATACCGTTGGAAACCTCTTAGAAAGTACTATAAGTTCCTAGAAGACACTTTTCCATGAATCAAAGTGGAAAGTGTTCAAAAATGAGCTTGAAGATGCAGGATTGGTTTACAAGGCAGAATTAAGTTGGATTTCGGCCAACTTTGAAAATTCGGCACGATTCACACGTTGCAAACCAGCCTCTGAAATTTGTCACTCAATTAGAGTTGCAAGTGAGGTTTATAACAAAACAAGCGGATCAAGAATCGGAGTTTCGAGTACCGAGATACGGTAGCTCAAAGTTGGGGAAATTCAAGACTGGAGAATAATTTCCAGATTTGAACCTCTAACTTTAGTAATTTAATTGGGTATCGAAACAAACTTGGATTGGTACCAAAATTGGTAGTATTTTACTCCCATATGAAAGGTACCGCTCTATCAAATTTCAGGGAAAAATACCTTCGGAAAGATAGCTAATTAGTCAACCAAAGGTCAGGAAAAATTCTAAGGCAATCTGCCTTTTGACTTTCATGTCCCAATTTCCAATCGTTTAACCAAGAAAGCTATCCAACCATGGTTCATTGGTGAAATAAAGGTCTAAGACACATTCATGATACCTTTGGTAATGGTTTAACACCAAAATTTCAATTAATAAGATCACTCCCAAGTTTTTGTCCCAAATCAGTCCAAATACTACGTTTTTCCAAAATAGGGCAGTCCTCTTGTTTTAGTCACAATCCAATCAATTTAACTCGGAATCGAGCATGGCTTACGCCATTGGAAAATACATTCATAGGGCTAAAATACCACAGAAGAAATCGTTCCAAAATTCGGCACCCATCTGGTTCAAAATCGGGCATCAATTTGCTGCCTGAACACTTCATTCCAGATGAACGGAGCAACAGGACAGCGAACTTAAAACATTTGGTTTGGCTTGCTCACAAAGAATCAGAACGTGCATTATATACCAAATTAAATCCAGGAATGTCTAGTTTCAAACGCCACCAACGGCACATGATTTCGACATCCGAGGACAGAGTTATAGCCGAATTACTACCACTGGTCAGAGTCATACGCGAACAGTTTTCCAGATTTGCTAGTTTCTTAAAAAAATTCATTAGCTCAATCAAACCTCAATATTTTCCAATGAAATTTTCACACATCTAATACATCCTATAAACATCCAATTCAAGCCATTAGACCATTAAAAATTGGCCTCAAAATGGCCGAACATGGCAGGGGTAAAATCGGAAGTTTTTGCTTCTTACACCCAATGAAGTTTCTACTAATTACCCACCGCTAATGCATCAATTTAACCACTAAACCAACAATATAACCACCATCAATCATCAAATCAGCAACAACCCAAGTGTGGGAATCCATAGAGCCCCTTTTCAAATTTTCCAACAATATCAAGACACCCATACACATGCAATAGCTTAAAGATGCATTTCTACTATCATAATCCAAGTTTAAGGTGTAGGATGAGATTATACCTCCTTGTTGCTTTAAACCAGAAATTTCGGTCCTCAAGATGCTCCAAGAAACCGTGAGAAACTCCTCCTTTTACTAGCTAGATGATCTCTCCATGTGACAAGCTAAGTGTAGTTCAAATTTGGTGTGAATCCATGAAGTTTTTGTGCAAGAATTGAAGATGAAAATGACATCTTGGTGTTGTTTTTTTGCTGCTGATAATTCGGCCAAGAGAGAGACTAAGAGAGAGAGTGTTTGGTCCAAATTTAGCTTCTTAAGGAAGACACAATGTGTGGTGCAAAAATCATCCCCAAAGTCAACTCTCACTAGGGTGCGTTTGGGCGCGTTTCGGCTCTATTTCTCGCGCGTTTGGTTCACTAGTGCACTAAACTCTAATGCACTTATATTCATGTAAATATTATTCACTCTTGATTGTCCCGAAATAAGGGTCTAAAGTCCCTCAAATAAAGTCGCGCGTGTGAAAACGCGTACCGTCAATTTTAACGCTATAACGCGAAACTTCCGAGAATTTCTTATAACGATTGTACTACTAACTATCACTTGAGTATTTATTCATAAGATTACCTATTTTAGGACCATAGTACAAGTCTCCAATATTCCAAGCTTATTGTGCTACTACGCGGATAAAATCTCCAAGCACTATTCACTATTTTACTAAACGTACTCCAGGAAATTAATTCTTGAAACAAGTCACTTAAAAATATAACGAAGCTATATTTCCACGTAATTAGGTTCAATAGGTCTAGAAAATAATACTCGGAAATAAAGAGACAAGTAAATAATTAAATAAGCTCAAATTAGGGTTTTAATAGGAGTTTTACGAGTCCTCACATGAGTCGAGTATTAACTCCTCAAATCTCCAATAAATTTGTATCCATGCGTCTTTTGGAAAACTATCCACGCGTGAGTAGTATATGCTCACTTAGAACTTATTCACCTTTAAGTCTCGATTAACTTTTCTTAATCTGCTATTGTCCGTTCTTAATTTCCCCAGGATAATCATACTCTCGAATACAATATCACCTTGAAACACTCGTGTTCATTATTTCTCACTCAAACAATCCTCCGAAAATTGAAGTTGTTAACGGGACGGACGTTTTAAAAGCATAATGAAGACATTATTCCATACGAATGGATTTAAAATGGTCGTAATAAATTATTTAGGAAAAAACAGGTGGATTAATACTTAATTAAACCATTAATATTCGATAAAATAAGAAATTTTTTGGGTCCTCACATCCTCCCTCCTTAATAGAATTTCGTCCTCGAAATTCACACCTGAGAAAATATCATTCCCTTCATGGTTAAGCCTATCTGATCGATCACCAACGTACGTTTTTCGAACTTACACTTGACAATTTCCATTCATTCGACTAGCAGTCAAACCTTGATTTTTTTTTCTTCAATAGGTATTTTAACTTCCAAGTCATAGAGCAACTTAATCGGCCTCATGTCATGACAGATCATCCATCTGTGATTCCCCAGGGGTGTGATATTCGGTAACATAGAGCAGTTGTTTTCCCAATTTCTGGAGGCACGGCTAAAGAATTTCTAACAGAATACAAAAAAACCCTTCTCTGATGTAATCATTCTTTTTGCAGATGCAGAACCAACAATTCTTTCAAGCTGAAACCATAAAAAAGTACGCATCACAAGAACTTTAAAAGAAAGTAAAATTCATGTGACACAAGGACAAAGGTAATTTGAGAGAGAGCAAAAAAAAAAAAAGAGGCATATACAGGCTTATAATCTTTGAGTATTACAACCAAGGCAACGAGTAAGAGAAAAGGGAAGGAAAAGCTGGCATTATCATCTATATGACCACTAAATTAACAGATTTGTAATCCCATCCATTGTCCTATGCCTTCAATTCCAACAAATATCTAACAATTTCAAAAATCGAAGGATCCTTGAAATTAACAGCTATAAATACTGAGTAGCAAATATACTTTCCAAACGGGAACAATCTCAAGATTCTTGAGCAACATAAAAGCCAAGGAGCCAGAAGGTTTGATTACACCCTCAATGCAGTGTAAGCCATTCTTAGGGGAGAGTCATGTCAATTCAAGATTAAGAAAGAAAATTACCTTCATTGGAATTAGAAACTTTCAAGAAATTCAAAGAGAAAGTTTCCTAGACGATGGTACTT